AGAGAGAGAGAGTAGAGAGAGAGAGTAGAGAGAGTAGAGAGAGTAGAGTAGAGAGAGTAGAGTAGAGAGAGTAGAGTAGAGAGAGTAGAGTAGAGAGAGTAGAGTAGAGAGAGTAGAGTAGAGAGAGGAGAGTAGAGAGAGTAGAGTAGGGAGAGTAGAGTAGAGAGAGTAGAGTAGAGAGAGTAGAGTAGAGAGAGTAGAGTAGAGAGAGTAGAGTAGAGAGAGTAGAGTAAAAGAAGGTAGAACAAATCGAGATCGATGAAATAAAACAGAAATAATATGAAATGTAAAAACTACTTGAATCTTTCTCAGCAAAAAACTTTAGCAATATCCCGATTTGATGTGGCTTCAATTTGACGAGAATGCGTGGATCGGGAATTTAGGAGCTTTATTGGCTCCTCCATATGTGAAGATTCAATGTGGTGACGTGATTACTTTTGTCGGCATCGCAGTCGTCATTGAAAATGTATCAGCGGTAAGCAATGCTTTATATTCAACGTATTTCTTTTAACATCTGAAAACGATCAAAAATCAATAAGTATTACAAAATTGAGTTTACAGGGAACAATCATGATTTGGCAAATGTTTTATTTCCTGAAAAACACGTATATGAGTGAGAAGACCAGAGCGATGAATAGACGATTCATCAACGCTTTGTTTATTCAGGTGAAGACTTTTCTGTGATCTTTTATGCGATTGTGTCTGCTTTTGCCAATTTTGAAGCCTCTCGAAAAGTTCTCTGAAATTCCACAACTATTAGGCTGGTGAATTGAAAACTGCCGGAGACTTTGAACTAAAATTTATTCAACAAACGATCAATTCATTCCAAATAATTTCCACTATTATTGACGACTTCTGCCCATTTTACAGGCAATTTGCGGATTCCTCTTTCGTAGTAGGATTTTGGTTTTGAATTGAAAAACTTTCAAAGCCAATTTTTGACTGCTTCTTCCGGATCGAAGTGTTCTCCCGAAAGCTCATTACTCATGGTCCCGAATAAATAATAATCAAAAGGGGCGAGGTCCGGTCTGTATGTGGAATGCGCCAAAAGTTCCCAATCAAGGCTATTTATTTTAGAGCGAGTCAGTTTTGCAACATGTTATTAGTTATTATTTAGATAAAAAGTAAATTCTCTAACAGATTTCCTCTTTTATTGGGTTGGTGAAAACTGCGGGACTTTGAACTAAAATTTATTCAACAAACGATCAATTCATTCCAAATAATTTCCACTATTATTGACGACTTCTGCCCATTTTACAGGCACTTTGCGGATTCCTCTTTCGTGGTAGGATTTTGGTTTGTGTGTGAGACAAGTGTGAGACTCAAAAATGGAGGACTGGGGATGTCCCAGTTTGAGCATTTGAGCCCTTTCTTCAAAAGAAACCCATTTTGGTGTCAATAGAAAAGTTGTAGAGAATCAAAAATTAGGCTTATAACCAAATTTCCAAAAGGATACACTTAGTAGTTTTGCTTAAAATGCAAGTTTTGTGGAAATTCGGAAATTTGGCATTTCTTGAAAACCATTTTTTGAATCGTTCTGAAAATTTGAATATAAGCTTGATTTTCGATTCTCTACAACTTTTCCATTGACACCAAAATGGGTTTCTTTTGAAGAAAGTGCTCAAACTGTGACATATGACAATAGCCCGCAGTTTTCAATTCACCAACCCAATAGATAATGATTGCTTGAAAAGTGTTAAAGTGTTTAATTTTAGGTATTTTAAATGATATATATGTCGTAGCCGTTTACGAAATTCAGCCGCTAACGAATCATTCGTTAACGGCTAGTCGTTAACGAATGAAATTTTTCGCTAGTCGCTAACGAATCGTCCGTAAACGGTTAGCCGATTACGAATAAAAATTTTTCACTAAATTTGTACGAAATCTTTGTCATCGGCTTCTGCGAACATGGCATTTAGGCATTTATTGAAAACGAAACCATCAATCATTACAAATATTTTCCATTATTATTGCGAAGGGTAATGGTAGCTGGCGGAAGAGTGGAAGATCCTCTTTTGATTGCATACCTAAAATTGATTATTTACTAAAGAAAAACGACAAAAGAAAGCAAAATAAAGTGAAAAAAAAACATGATTAAAAAACGAATTTAAAGTTCTTTCCATAATTTTCCCCCACCTTGTATTTACGATAGATGCAGCGATTTATAGTCTTTTCATCAAGATAAACTTTGGGTGAGTTTATTCATGCTTTTGGTAATTCGTTGTACCATATAATGAAAGAAATTGCGTGTTGTTCAGGTCGGAGTCCCGTCGTTAACCATCGCCGGTCCGCTGGTTGTCAATTCTTTGGGTTATATGGGAATACGAATATCACAAGGTGAGTTTTGGTGTTTTAGCCGTCACTTATTTCGTTTACCGTCGTGTCAAATCGAGCAGAAACACAGCGGTTTCGGCAACTTTTCGGTTCGATCATTGGATATATTGATAAATAAGTTCAATTCGACCCGAAATGCCATTAGTTCTAGTATCAGAAAAGGTATGAAAACAAGATGAGAGTAGGATTTGGGGTTATCCGTCAAATTCGAGAAAAGTTATGAAATACGATAATCAAACACTCATCTACCTACTCGTCTAGTTGCTAAATTATGTACATATTCAAGTGCATAGTATATGTTGGATCAAATACAAATTCATCTATTCTAAAAGGCGATTTTAGGATAGCATGCAATGATACTGGTGTAGTCGCGTGTACGCTTTCTCTGCTTCATTCTTTATTTGTCGCGTGAGTTGGATTCTCGCGTAGTCGCAATACGATGTCGAAGTTCAACTTAAAATGGTGTGGAAAAGACATTCGAATCAATTGAGACACAGGCATTGCCTGGAGAACTTCGAAACAATGTTAGATGAATTCGACTTGCCGAAGCCTCCTCTCCGTCCAAGCCTACAACCGAATCCAAATCGATCCCAAGTGCTGCTTGATGGTGAAGAACCCGATGAGCCTCCACTCATTTCCGATGTCGCCGATGAGCCCAAGCAAGCCGATGTTACTGATCCACCGTCGCCACCGAACTGCCCTCAACGACCGCAACCTCTTCGACGTTCGACTCGAGACCGACGCTCATCTGATCGATTCATCGCCACCAAATGACGGATTGAACTATTGAATGTTGTTACTCACCTACCGTAAATACTGTAATAGTACCCCACCCGCATAATGACGGTGCGGAGTGTTGCGTAGTCTAGCTTTGAACGAGTTTTTCTCGACGCTGGTTTATGCTACAATGTGCGCTTAGGTATCAAAAAATAGCGCTGAATTTCAGCTATTTTTTGATACCAAATACGCATTTTTTGAAAGTACAGGTGCTTTGCAAAAAAATAAATACTAAAAAACTTTTGCGACTACGCGAATGTACGAGGGCGGTGGGGTACTATTACACGATTTACGGTATGTTAATGTTTGTTCCCCTATTTATTCTTTTAAGGAGGAAGATGTTGGATTAAATACAAATTGATCTATTCTAAAAGGCACTGTCTTTTTGTCGCGTCAATTGGATTCTCGCGTAGTCGCAATTTTCCACTCGGCTCCTTTTTGCCATTTCCCCCTTGTTCTCTCTTTTTGATAGTGATTTAACTAACAGAATAAATGATATAAATTCCGTCTTGAATCAATCAGAGAAAGCGCACACGCGACGACAACAGTATCATTTGCATATTGCTATCCTAAAATTGTATATATTGTATTCCATTCGTGTATCATCTTTTTTTTAATTCCTTTATATCAGAATATCTCAACATTATGCTGTTTTTTGGTATGTTACATGGAAAGCTCACATCGATTCTCATCATCGCTCTCATTCAACCATATCGAAAATATTGTGACACTTCGATTAGAAGAATAATCGCGTATTTTCATTAGAAGCTGCATAATCATCAAAATTTCAGCCTCACGAAACGCGGAAACGAAATAACTGTTGTGTCGTCAACCATTTGATCATCATATCAGCAACAGTAAAAGATTCGATTATTTACGCAGAAAGGGGAGAGAAATTTAAATGCAAATTGATAGAGAAATGGTATCGGAATGCATTTCAGTGTGTACAGCAAAAGATTTATGCCTCAGCAGATTGCATCCAAATAAAAAGTTCATGAACGATCGAATACATGGCTTTGGTTCGGATCGAATTCAGCTTTCACAAAAAGAAATATCGATACAGTATTTTATTTGTCATTTATTGCTAATACTTTACTGAGCACAAAGTTCAAGGAAAGAATTCCAATGTTTCCAGGATCAGTTTTTGTCGAATAAGCTTCTATGAGAGGGACATAATGAAAATCTATCAGAACAACATTAATCTCCCTCTCCGCAATCACAACAAAGGCATTTGAAGATCGTTACGAATGTTTTAGTGACCATGAACTCCAAAGTTTTCTGCTCGACTGCTACAAATTGATCTATTCTAAAAGGGAATTTTAGCATGCAATGATACTGTTGTAGTCGCGTTGTGCGCTTTCTCTGCTTCATTCTTTATTTGTCGCGTGTGTTGGATTCTCGCGTAGTCGCAATTTTATAATAGGTTAGCTTCGCGAGGTTAGCTGAAAGCACACCGAACAGCGTTTTTGTGAAGATCGATATCGATGAGGCGCAAGGTGTGCTTTGTTTAGAAAAACGTTCATCATTTTTCAAACAGAACTCTCCCAAGTTCTTGGCGTTCGAGCAATGCCCACATTTTATTTCTTCCGAAATGGGTGAGCTCTTTGAAATCTTGTTAGTTACAAGTCTAAATTCTGCTTCATTTACCAGTCTAATTTGTTGTTTTTGTAATTGTCATCTGACGTATGACGAAGATCGATTTATAGCAAATTTAATCATGACTTTAAAAAGGACTCTTCAGATCTTGACAAAAATTTGGTCTTTGCAAGTCTTTCAAAATCTATAATTTTCCTTAAAAAAAAGCAAAGTTTGATAGCCAGGCTTAGGTTCTAGTACAGTACAACTATCGTTCAGAAAACTAGTACAATGCAGTGTACTATTGCAATAAAGTATACCGTATTTCAGTAATATTTTCCCATTTCTTGCCTCCTTTGCCTTCCTTTTTAAAAGCATTTTCTCAAAGTTTAAATCCCAATTTTGAAAACATTCGTGAGAATTTTCTTAAAATTTTAAAGTCATCTTTCTCAAAAACAAAATTAAATTAAATTCTTTGCCCAGAAAAAACAAATTTAAACTTCTATTTTTGTCAAAAAGGATTAAATAATCATCTATTCACCAATTTTCTGAGTTTTGAGGCGTGAATTTCTTTTCTTATGCCATATTTCATTGAAACTTTTACATTTCATTGAGAGGCGTTGAGCTGTGAAAGACGCATAGTGAATATTTATGTACTTGAGGATATCTTTGGCTCTTTTGTTGTGATTCTTTCCTTCAGTGTCGATGGTTTATCTTTGCTGATTGAATAAACGGTATCTGATTGCAAGGGAATACATCGAATACAGGCCAAAGAACGAAGGAAACGACGACGATAGTTCTAAAAAAGAATCGCGTTTTCATCAATATCAGAAAGTGATTTTTGGTGCTAAACAATTACAAAATCTCCAAAAGCTAACTTACTCAGAGCTACAGTAAGCCAGGGAAACTACCATCACCCTGACCTTTCATACAGTACCTTTTCGTACAGTATTTGAAATTAGACTTTTGAATTGTACTCAAATAAAAATAAAAATCTCTGGGTACAACCTAATAGATGCGGCAATTCTCATCAAACATCCTGTAAATATCTTCTCCTTTCACCTGTTCACGAAAGTTTTCATTTTGTTTCCACCTGCTCGAAGAAACGATTCGTTCCTTTCTTTTTCACTTTGTTTCCAAGAAAAGATTCGTTTCTTTACTTGCATCCATTTGCAATAATTGCAATAATTTTCAGTTTCTCTCCACCATTGCCCATCCTCAAAATGTTCCCTCCCCCGTATCCTCATTTATATCTTCGTGTCTCCACATTAATAGGGTATATTGGGGCAATTATTAGTGCTTTCGCTTTATATATTATGATAATCGCAAGTCCAAAAGAGATGAAAGCATATAAATATTGTTTGATGATAATGCAGGTAAAGTAAAAGTTTAAATTAAATATTAAACTTGTCTACAATTCGAAACAGATTTTTTCAATGGCTCTCGATTTGGTGTTTCACGGTTTCATCCCGGAACTTTATCCACCCGCATTCGTTTTGAAATGTTATGGGATTTTATACGAAATGTTTCACATTAATGCATTTATGCTTTACGTTTGTCGAAAACATGAATCGAAAAAAGGATAAACGATAAATCTAGGAACTGGGTGGCGCATGTGCATGGGGAATCGCCTTTGGAACAACCCTTTGCTTTCTCTATCGACACCAATTGGTGTTACCGCGAGGCCATTGGGCACGGTAGATTTGATTCGACTGATTCAGTTGATTCAACCAATTAAACTCTTTAAACTCTCTAATAGAACAGCTTTAATTTCACTTGAATATTTCTCTTTAAAAAGTCGACTTTTACCACTTGAGAAACAGTGTCTATTAGCAAGTTTTACTAGTGTTTTACTAGAGTATACAAAGTCGAACTTTTCCGGAAGATATATCGGTAAGATCTGTCGTCAAAGTCAAAATAAAAGGCTTCTTTAAGAGCGATCATAAACTCTTAGATTAAAACTTTTTATGCTACCGTATTTCCTCTAATAAACGCCCCCCCCCCCCCCCCTTGACCAACTTTGGACGCTTCGTTCTCAGCTCCATTTGGAGATATTTTTATGTTTAATATATCAAAAGATAGCCCTTAATGTCTTCTATCTTTTGATATATTAAACATAAAAATACCTCAAAATGGGGCTGAGAACGAAGCGTCCAAAGTTGGTCAAGGGGGGGGGGCGTTTATTAGAGGAAATACGGTAGATGTTTATATGCTTTTTTTAGTGATTCAATCTTCTCTTATAATAGATTTTGCTGGATCACATTCGCAATGTCATTTCCAGCTTTCGATGGTCATTCTGGGTGATATTTCTCCTTTTACATGCAATCTATGTCGGTTTTCACATGTGGGCAGTATATGCAATTCCATTCGAGCATCCACCAAATGCAAGCGGATTGCCATCGGTTCTCCAGGTTAGTCTTTTGAATGAATACTATATAACTTTGTCGAAAGATAATACTAATGTTAACTTTGATAATATTAATGGATTACCATCGGTTCTCCAGATTTCAGTTATCCTTTTTATTTTGAAGGAGAAATTCATTAAAAGAAGCGAAGAGTTATGAAGAGAAGAGAACTCTTTCTATTAACGTTTTCGCGGCATCTCTAGATATTACTAACGTTCGACTCTAAATAATTTACTTACTAGATAGATGGATAAGTAGATAATGTATTAGATTAGATAATTTACTATTAGGTTGATGCATAAGTCTTTTCGTTTTTTTCGTACTTCTGTTAAAAAGTAACAAATTCACCAATTAACCTATGCTTTTCTCTAAATAAAAAGTGTTTTTTTGTTCAATTTGCATCTTTTTAAATGAATTTCGGTTCACTTTAAAGCAAATTCGAGAGTGAAAAACGCCTTTTTCGTAAAAATCTATAAAAAACTCTACGGAAAAATTGGCTCAATGAATTTCTCTGAAATTTTGGCGAAATATCAAACGTTTTTTTTCTCTATCTTTTATCTATTGACACGAAGATAGGTTTTCTTTAGCTAAGGTGTCTAAACCGCTCAGGCTCAGGCTCAGGCTTAGGCTGAGGCTTAGCCTGAGCCTGAGCCTGAGCCTGAGCCTAAACCGCATCATCGAGTTAGCCCTTTTTGACTACCCGACTTCATACTCTCAAGAAAATCCAGGCATTTCTTTAGCTAAGGTGTCTAAACCGCATCATCGAGTTAGCCCTTTTTGACTACCCGACTTCATACTCTCAAGAAAATCCAGGCATTAAATATTTTTAAACCCGTTTTAATGTTATTTTGCAGAAAAATAATTGCTTTTTCTAATGAAATCAACCGTAGTTTAATTGGTGCATTTGTTGGCTTGAAACGGCAGACGAAAAAAATGAAAAAGACTTTTGCATCAACCTAATAGTAGATAATTAGATAGTTTACTAACTCTATTACTAACTCTGTTTAGAAGAGAACTCTTGTGGTCTTAAGAACGTCAAGAATCTTCATTAAGAAAAGATAATTTAATCTATAAACCTCTAGAACTATCCCGATTTGGTATGGATAGAATTTGATGTGGATGCGTGGATTGGGAATTCGGCTGCCCTATTGGCTCCTCCATATTTGAATATTCAATGTGGTCAAGTCATTTTCTTGGTCACCATCGTTATCGTCATTGAACTTGTATCATTAGTGAGTAATTTTTGTTACCGTATTTCCGCTTATAGTAAACTATCTAATTATCTGATTATCAACTAGTAAATTATCTGTCTATCTAATCTACTAGTAAATTATCAAATTCTCTAAATTATCTATCTATCTAATTATCTACTAGTAAATTACCTAATCTAGTAAATTATCTAATTATCATGGACAAAAGTCTTGGCGGCTCCTTGGTGGCAACTTTCAAACGCAAATTTAGGAACCTTCCCGAGAGGCTATAAAAGAGTTGTCACAAGTATTTTTGAGCATTTTTACTCTACTTTTAGCTATGCTCAAGCATTGAACTCGAAACTCTATTTTAAACAACAAAAATAAGTGTAAACGACAAAAAGTCACAAAAACAATGGACAAAAGTCTTGGCGGCACAGAAATAGAGGCGAAAAATGCAATATTTTGTCAGTCCGCCTTTAGCTGCAATGATCATTATCATTATTTAATTATCTATCTATCTAGTGAGTAAATTATTTAGCGTCGAACGTTAGTAATATCGTGAAACGCTAGTAATATCTTGAGATACCGCGAAAACGTTAATAGAAAACGTGGTCGCTTAACTAAACTAAACTTAACTTAACTTAACGTTTACAGGGAATCATTTTGATCTTTCAAATGTTTTATTTTCTGAAAAACGCGACAAGCTATATGAGTGAGAAGATGAGAGCGATGAATAGACGATTCATCAACGCTCTGCTCATTCAGGTGATCACTTTTCTGTGATCTTTTATGCAATTGTGTCTGCTTTTATCAATTTGTCTCTCTCTTGAAGTCTCTCGAAAAGTTCCCTGAAATTCCACAACTATTATCAGCTAAATTATCTAAGCCTATTGTTGAATTAAAGAAAGAAATCGAGTATTGTTCAGGTTGGCGTTCCCGCTCTAACCATGGCTTTTCCTTCACTTATTAAAGGTGTAATTTCTCGTATGGGAAAACCGATATCACAAGGTGAGCCGAAGCGTTTAATGGAACTCAATCTTCAATCTTGGTTTCATACTACAACGGACTCTTAAACTATAGCCATTTACTTTCCAGAATTCATCAATCTAACACTCATTTGTGCCATGTTACACGGAAAATTGACCTCAATTCTCATCATCGCTCTCATTCAACCATATCGACAATTTTGTTTGAATTCGATGGGGAAAATGATCGGGTATTTTCGTTGAAAAGAGTCTTCTTGTGCAAAAGAATCACCACCAAAATTTCAGGCTCAAAAAACTCGATAACGACATAACAATCGTGACAACAAAAACTTGACAATCACATCAGCAACAATAAAACGCTTATCTCGCATTTTCAACAATAAATCAATAAATGTATACCGGGATTACCGGCGCTCTTTATTCACACATGTATCATAGACACTATAGTACTTTCTTTGTTGGTGGAGGGGCTGAAAGAAAGGCGTCGTTGCATTTTGACAGAGGTATGGTTTCCGTTTTACAGACCACGGACCAAGGCTTACCTAGCCAATCTCCTGATCAATCACTCCCGGGGGAAGGGAAAGGGAAGAGAGCGGAAGGGAAAGGAAGGGAAGGGAAGGGAACGGAAGGGAAGGGAAGGGAAGAGAGCGGAAGGGAATGGAAGGGAAGGGAAGGGAACGGAAGGGAAGGGAAGAGAGCGGAAGGGAATGGAAGGGAAGAGAGCGGAAGGGAATGGAAGGGAAGGGAAGGGAACGGAAGGGAAGGAAGGGAAGAGAGGGGAAGGGAATGGAAGGGAAGGGAAGGGAACGGAAGGGAAGGGAAGGGAAGAGAGCGGAAGGGAAGGGAAGGGAAGGGAAGGAAGGGGGAGGGGGAAGGAAGGGAAGGGAAGGGAGGGAAGGAAGGAAGAGAGCGGAAGGGAATGGAAGGGAAGGGAAGGGAACGAAGGGAAGGGAAGGGAAGGAAGGAAGGAAGGGAAGGGAAGGGAGGGAACGGAAGGGGGGGGGAAGGGAAGGAAGGGAAGGGAAGGGAAGGAGGAAGGGAATGGAAGGGAATGGAAGGAATGGAAGGGAAGGAAGAGAGGGAAGGGAAGGGAAGGAAGGGAGGGAAGGAAGGGAAGGGAAGGGAAGGAAGGGAAGGGAAGGGAAGGGAAGGGAAGGGAAGGGGAAGGAAGAGAGCGGAAGGAATGGGAAGGAAGGGAAGGGAACGGAAGGGAAGGGAAGGGAAGGGAAGGGAAGGGAAGGGAAGGGAAGGGAAGAGAGCGGAAGGGAATGGAAGGGAAGGGAAGGGAACGGAAGGGAAGGAAGGGAGGGAAGGAAGGGAGGGGAAGGGAAGGGGAGGGAGGGAAGGAAGGGAAGGAAGAGAGGGGAAGGGAATGGGGGGGAAGGGAGGGAAGGAAGGGGAAGGGAAGGGAGGAACGGAAGGGAAGGGGAAGGAAGGAAGGGAGGGAAGGGGAAGGAAGGGAACGGAAGGGAAGGAAGGGAAGGGAAGGGAAGGGAAGGGAAGGGAAGGGAAGGGAAGAGGCGGAAGGGAATGGAAGGGAAGGGAAGGGAACGGAAGGGAAGGGAAGGGAAGAGAGCGGAAGGGAATGGAAGGGAAGGGAACGGAAGGGAAGGGAAGGGAAGGGAACGGAAGGGAAGGGAAGGGAAGGGAAGGGAAGGGAAGGGAAGGGAAGGGAAGGAAGAGAGCGGAAGGGAATGGAAGGGAAGGGAAGGGAACGGAAGGGAAGGCAAGGGAAGGGAAGGGAACGGAAGGGAAGGGAAGGGAAGGGAAGGGAACGGAAGGGAAGGGAAGGGAAGGGAAGGGAATGGAAGGGAATGGAAGGGAAGGGAAGGGAAGGGAATGGAAGGGAATGGAAGGGAATGGAAGGGAATGGAAGGGAAGGGAAGAGAACGGAAGGGAAGGGAAGGGAAGGGAAGGGAAGGGAACGGAAGGGAAGGGAAGAGAGCGGAAGGAATGGAAGGGAAGGAACGGAAGGGGAAGGGAAGGGAAGGGAAGAGAGCGGAAGGGAATGGAAGGGAAGGGAAGGGAACGGAAGGGAAGGGAAGGGAAGGGAAGGGAACGGAAGGGAAGGGAAGGGGAAGGGAACGGAAGGGAAGGGAAGGGGAAGGGAACGGAAGGGAAGGGGAAGGGAAGGGAAGAGAGCGGAAGGGAATGGAAGGGAAGGGAAGGAAGGAACGGAAGGGAAGGGAAGGAAGGGAACGGAAGGGAAGGGAAGGGAAGGAACGGAAGGAAGGAAGGGAAGGGAAGGAAGGGAAGAGAGCGGGAAGGAATGGAAGGGGAAGGGAAGGAACGGAAGGGAAGGGAAGGAACGGAAGGGAAGGGAAGGGAAGGAAGGGAACGGAAGGGAAGGGAAGGGAAGGGAAGGGAAGGGAAGGGAAGAGAGCGGAAGGGAATGGAAGGGAAGGGAAGGGAACGGAAGGGAAGGGAAGGGAAGGGAACGGAAGGGAAGGGAAGGGAAGGGAAGGGAAGAGAGCGGAAGGAATGGAAGGGAAGGGAAGGGAACGGAAGGGAAGGGAATGGAAGGGAAGGGAAGGGAACGGAAGGGAAGGGAAGAGAGCGGAAGGGAATGGAAGGGAAGGGAACGGAAGGGAAGGGAAGGGAAGGGAACGGAAGGGAAGGAAGGGAAGGGAAGGGGAAGGGAAGGGAAGGGAAGGGAAGGGAAGGGAAGGGAAGGAAGGAAGGAAGGGAAGGAAGGAAGGGAAGGGAAGGGAAGGGAAGGGAAGGAAGGGAAGGGAAGGAAGGGAAGGGAAGGAAGGAAGGAAGGGGAAGGGAAAGGGAAGGAAGGGAATGGAAGGAAAGGGAAGGAAGGGAAGGGAATGGAAGGGGAATGGAAGGGAATGGAAGGGAACGGAAGGGAAGGGAAGGGAAGGAAGGAAGGGAAGGAAGGGAAGGGAAGGGAAGAGAGGGAAGGGAAGGAAGGAAGGGAAGGAAGGAAGGAAGGGAAGGAAGGGAAGGGAAGGGAGCGGAAGGGAATGGAAGGGAAGGGAAGGGAACGGAAGGGAAGGAAGGGAAGAGAGCGGAAGGAATGGAAGGGAAGGGAAGGAACGGAAGGAAGGGAAGGGGAGGGAAGGGAAGGGAAGGAAGGGGAAGGGAAGGGAAGGGAAGGGAAGAGAGCGGAAGGGAATGGAAGGGAAGGGAAGGGAAGGAAGGGAAGGAAGGAAGGAAGGGAAGGAAGGGAAGGGAAGGGAAGGAAGGGAAGGGAAGGGAAGAGGAAGGAATGGAAGGGAAGGAAGGAACGGAAGGGAAGGGAAGGGAAGAGAGGAAGGGAAGGGAAGGGAAGGAAGGAACGGAAGGGAAGGGAAGGGAAGGGGAAGGAAGGGAAGGGGAAGGGAAGGAAGGGGAAGGGAAGGGAAGGGAAGGAAGAGCGGAAGGGAATGGGAAGGGAAGGGAACGGAAGGAAGGGAAGGGAAGGGAAGGAACGGAAGGAAGGGAAGGAAGGGAAGGGAAGGGAAGGGAAGAGAGGGAAGGGAAGGGAAGGAAGGAAGGAAACGGAAGGGAAGGAAGGGAAGGAAGGGAAGGGAAGGGAAGGGAACGGAAGGAAGGGAAGGAAGGGAAGGGAACGGAAGGGAAGGGAAGGGAAGGGAAGGGAAGGGAAGGGAATGGAAGGGAAGGAAGGGAAGGAAGGAAGGAAGGGAAGGGAAGGAAGGGAAGGGAAGGGAAGGGAAGGGAAGGGAAGGGAAGGAAGGAACGGAAGGGAAGGAAGAGAAGCGGAAGGAAGAAGGAAGGGAAGGAAGGGAAGGGAAGGGAAGGGAAGGAAGGAAGGGAAGGGAAGGGAAGGGAAGGGAAGGGAAGGGAAGAGAGCGGAAGGGAATGGAAGGGAAGGGAAGGGAACGGAAGGGAAGGGAAGGGAAGGGAAGGGAACGGAAGGGAAGGGAAGGGAAGGGAAGGGAAGGGAAGAGAGCGGAAGGGAATGGAAGGGAAGGGAAGGGAACGGAAGGGAAGGGAAGGGAAGGGAACGGAAGGGAAGGAAGGGAAGGGAAGGAAGGAAGGGAAGGGAAGGGAAGGAAGGGAAGGGAAGAGAGCGGAAGGGAATGGAAGGAGGAAGGAAGGAACGGAAGGGGAAGGGAAGGGGAAGGGAAGGGAAGGAAGGAAGGGAAGGAAGGGAAGGGAAGGGAAGGGAAGGGAAGAGAGCGGAAGGGAATGGAAGGGAAGGGAAGGGAAGGGAAGGGAAGGGAAGGGAAGGGAACGGAAGGGAAGGGAAGGGAAGGGAAGGGAAGGGAAGGGAAGGGAAGGGAAGGGAAGGGAAGGGAAGGGAAGGAAGGGAAGGGAAGAGAGCGGAAGGAATGGAAGGGAAGGGAAGGGAAGGAAGGAAGGAAGGGAAGGGAAGGAAGAGAGCGGAAGGGAATGGAAGGGAAGGGAAGGAAAAGGGAAGGAAGGGAAGGGAAGGAAGGAAGGAACGGAAGGAAGGGAAGGGAAGGAAGGAAGGGAAGGGAAAGGAATGGAAGGAATGGAAGGAAGGAAGGGAACGGAAGGGAAGGAAGGGAAGGGAAGGGAAGGGAATGGAAGGAAGGGAAGGGAACGGAAGGGAAGGGAAGGGAAGGGAAGGAACGGAAGGGAAGGGAAGGAAGGGAAGGGAAGGAAGGGAATGGAAGGGAATGGAAGGGAATGGAAGGGAAGGGAAGGGAACGGAAGGAAGGAAGGGAAGGGAATGGAAGGAAGGGAAGGGAAGGAAGGAACGGAAGGAAGGGAAGGGAAGGGAAGGAACGGAAGGAAGGGAAGGGAAGGGAAGGGAAGGAAGGGAATGGAAGGAATGGAAGGAAGGGAAGGGAACGGAAGGGAAGGGAAGGAAGGGAAGGGAAGGGAAGGGAAGGGAAGGGAAGGAAGGAACGGAAGGAAGGGAAGAGAGCGGAAGGAATGGAAGGGAAGGAAGGGAACGGAAGGGAAGGGAAGGGAAGGGAAGAGAGCGGAAGGGAATGGAAGGGAAGGGAAGGGAACGGAAGGGAAGGGAAGGGAAGAGAGGGAAGGGAATGGAAGGAAGGAAGGAAGGAAGGAGGGAAGGGAAGGGAGGGAAGGGAACGGAAGGGAAGGGAAGGAAGGGAAGGGAAGGGAAGGGAATGGAAGGGAATGGAAGGGAAGGGAAGGGAACGGAAGGGAAGGGAAGGGAAGGGAAAGGAAGGGAAGGGAAGGGAAGGGAAGGGAAGGGAAGGAACGGAAGGGAAGGGAAGAGGCGGAAGGGAATGGAAGGGAAGGGAAGGAACGGAAGGGAAGGGAAGGGAAGGGAAGAGGGGAAGGAATGGAAGGGAAGGGAAGGGAACGGAAGGGAAGGGAAGGAAGAGAGCGGAAGGAATGGAAGGGAAGGAAGGAACGGAAGGGAAGGGAAGGGAACGGAAGGGAAGGGAAGGGAAGGGAAGGGAAGGGAAGAGAGCGGAAGGGAATGGAAGGGAAGGGAAGGGAAGGGAACGGAAGGGAAGGGAAGGGAAGAGAGCGGAAGGGAAGAGACAGGGAACCTGGTCATGGAGACCAGGAGACCAGCATACAGCATAACAAATTGTGTTTAATATAGCTTTTGCATTCAACCTGTCATACACAGCAGACAAATTCAGCGCAGTTCTATGAGAAATTTATCAAATCCATCATTAGTTCATGACTTTATTAACTCTGCTAACAAAAGCAGTGTTCTTTGTAAAACAAAGTAATTTGTTTGTGCAAAAAAAGCTTGTGCAAAGAGCTCTAATAAATTTTACCAAAGATTTTCAGCTTTTTCAAATCTAATCATGACTTCAAAAAGCATTCTTCAAATCTTGACAAAAATTTGGTCTTTACAAGTCTTTCAGAACCTATAATTTTCCTTAAAAAAAAGCAAAGCTCGATAGCCAGGCTTAGGTTCTAGTACAGTACAACTATCGTTAAGAAAACTAGTACAATGCAGTGTACTATTGCAATACAGTATACCGTATTTCAGTAATATTTTCCCCATTTCTTGTAAGTGCCTCTTTTGCCTTCATTTTTAAAAGCATTTTTTTAAAGTTTAAATCTCAATTTTGAAAACATTCGTGAGAATTTTCTCGAAATTTTAAAGTCATCTTTCTCAAAACAAAATTCGACTTGATTCTTTGAGTCATTACCAGAAAAAAAACAAGTTTAAACTTCTATTTTTGTCAAAAAAAACATTAAGTGATCATCTATTCGCCAATTTTCTGAGTTTTGAGGCGTGAATTTCTTTTCTTATGCCATATTTCATTGAAACTTTTACATTCCATTGAGAGGCGGCATATCTGGCACATCTGGAATAGTCTAGACTAATCTTTCTCAAAGTCTAAAGTCTAAAGTCTAAAGTGATCTTTCTCAAAACAAAATTAGTTTTCATTCTTTGACTAGAAAAAACAAATTTAAACTTCTATTTTTGTCAAAAAGGATTAAATAATCATCTATTCACCAATTTTCTGAGTTTTGAGGCGTGAATTTCTTTTCTTATGCCATATTTCATTGAAACTTTTACATTTCATTGAGAGGCGTTGAGCTGTGAAAGACGCATAGTGAATATTTATGTACTTGAGGATATCTTTGGCTCTTTTGTTGTGATTCTTTCCTTCAGTGTCGATGGTTTATCTTTGCTGATTGAATAAACGGTATCTGATTGCAAAAGGATACATCGAATACAGGCCAAAGAACGAAGGAAACGACGACGATAGTTCTAAAAAAGAATCGCGTTTTCATCAATATCAGAAAGTGATTTTTGGTGCTAAACAATTACAAAAGCTCAAAAAGCTAACTTACTCAGAGATACAGTAAGTCAGGGAAACTACCATTACCCTGATCTTTCATACAGTACCTCTTCGTACCTTGAAATTAGACGTTTAAATGAATACTTTATCAGTTTGTCGAAAGGTAATATTGATGTTAATTTTTTCTATAGTCTACAAAGGATTTCAGGCTTTTATAGGATATCTAAACAGAATTTGATTGAACCAGACAATCCTGAGAGAATCAAGAGACAAGACAAGTCAGAAGGCACTGTTTTCCTGGTTTAAGTAATACAGTGGTTTGTCAGGCTGCAAAATTTGTAGCAAAAATACAGGCACAAATTCCAGGCATAAAAATTGATTCCATAAAATTTGGGCATAGCGAGGGAGACACCTGCACAATCGCTGACTATTATTTTGCTTTTCGGATTCAAGAAGGAAACACTTATGTATCGGGGAAGTGTGCCAGATGGGAAGCCATTACGCTGCCGCACAAAGAACACCTTAAATTCCTTCACATAGAGGATTTCTCTTTAGATTTAGATGATACAAAAAGAAGATATTTAGCTGAAAATTTGAACCCGAGGGTTTTCGGGGTCGGGGAATCGATTGGAGCTATTCATTTCATTAAGTCTACCAACTAAACTATTTCACTGAGCTCTGAAAATTTTTGTCCTGAACCTTTTTCGGGATTTCGGTTGTTTTGGTCGATTCGGTCACTCGGCTACACTCATTTATGCTTTTCATTTCATAGCACTCATTTTATCTTTTGTTTCATCATATCCCTAGAGCTCAAAGCTAGAAAACAAAGCTCATTTCCCCACGAAACATCAAGTACGGCAGTTTCCTATTCGCACCGATTTTGCTTATTGACGCGGAAATTTTGTGATTAACTCTAAAAAAACAGAAAATCAGTGAAGTGGATGTAAAAATTGTGCCTTTGATCTTGATGTTTAGATGAAAAAAACTGCTTGAACAAATGAACAAACCTTGAACATGAAAATTACAAGAAAAGCTTCAGCAACGGGATACTGTGAGATGATTACTGGGCCACATCTCGCAAAATCGGCCACCGGTACTCCGAAGGCTTGCAAGAATGGACCCCAAATGACAGCGAAACAGACAAGATACTCGCAGATTGTGGGAGCGATTGTCTGAAAGAAATATATTCATATAATCTAGTCGTAACTTTAGTTTATTTCAAAGTTTTCCTTAGCCATGAATATCCAACAATCTAACAACAACCTTTTCCGAATAACGACTCAGATATCTGACTAAAACATGCTACCGTAACCCTCTAACTTTTTTCTATACATCTTTATATCCCTAGATTACCGTATGCCAACGTAGTCGTGTACGGTAGCATTATGGGGGTAAGGGTTACGGTATGATTTAGATCGTAGAGTTGTAGAACGTAGTCCCTTACGACCACAAAAATGGGTCCTTCTCTTTCTTTCTTTCTCCTTCTTTCTTTTCTTTCTCTTTTCTTTCTCTTCTCTTCCCTTTCTTTCTCTTTCTTCC